GTATGTTTTTGGACCTGTTACATAAGGCAAAATTTAGTCTTAAGGCATTATTAGTCAATTTGGTGTAAAATTAGGCAATTTAGACATGGATTAAGGGATTACCATTAAACTGGGAATAAGCCACAATTAAAGATAAAAATACGTTTATTGACGTTTCAATTTCCACTTCGGAAATCGTTCTCAAAATACAAACAGTAAATTAAACAAATTTTGTTTTTTGTTACATAGTGAAAAATTCTTCTAATAATTTAATTTTATCTGACTCATTTATATTGACAATTCAGACATACATTATCCATTTTAAAGTAGACGACTTTAAAATGATATTGCCAATATTGTTGAGTTGCGCTCCTGGGACGACTTTACTTATAAGATAGTTCATTCGATTACATGAAATCAACTTTAACTTGAGAATATCCGTCAGAAAAAAATCATAGCATGTAATTCGTCTTTAAAAAGACAAACACATGACATGATGACAGTAAAATTCTCCTGTTAGTGACTCCATAGTAAATTATGAGGGAAAAACCAGGAAAAAAACCTCATAATACTATCCCGACATTGTATTTGTTCGTGAATTTAGTTTACCTTCAACAAACATCAAAATTCTGATTTTATATGTTACGTTATTTAAAAAACATAAATGATGTATCCTCTATATGTTACTGACTTACTAATACTGGTATTTTCTTATTAATAACTTCCTCTTTCAATATTGGTATAATAAATTCAGTATTCATACACAAGGAATAATATGAGGAAAATAACAATACCGTACATAAAAGGATTATCAGAAAAACTTAAAAGGATAGGAAATAAATTCAACATTCAAAACAACAAACACGTTGAGATCTATTTTGTCCAAAACCAAACCTAACAATGAACAAGAAAGGACAAAGAATTGCATTTATAAAATACCTTGTGAATGCGATCAGTTTTATTTAGGTGAATCATCAAGGCCATTAAATGTTAGAATAAGTGAACATCAATCTTATATTAAAAATAGAGAATTTGATAGATCTCAAATCTGTAAACACGCATGGGATAATGAACATATGGTTCAATGGAATAATTCAAATGTAGTCCTAAAAGAAACGGATGGTAAAAAAAGAAAAATCAAAGAAGCGGCTCTAATTATGCTAAATGAGGCCAATTGTGTCGCAAATTCCTTGGCAGAATGTAGTAGGATCTGGTTACCAATATTGAAAGAGGAAGTTATTAATAAGAAAATACCAGTATTAGTAAGTTAGTAACATATAGAGGATACATTATTTATGTTTTTTAAATAACGTAACATATAAAATCAGAATTTTGATGTTTGTTGAAGGTAAACTAAATTCACGAACAAATACTTACAATTTCGGGATAGTATTATGAGGTTTTTTTCCTGGTTTTTCCCTCATAATTTACTATGGAGTCACTAACAGGAGAATTTTACTGTCATCATGTCATGTGTTTGTCTTTTTAAAGACGAATTACATGCTATGATTTTTTTCTGACGGATATTCTCAAGTTAAAGTTGATTTCATGTAATCGAATGAACTATCTTATAAGTAAAGTCGTCCCAGGAGCGCAACTCAACAATATTGGCAATATCATTTTAAAGTCGTCTACTTTAAAATGCATAATGTATGTCTGAATTGACAATATAAATGAGTCAGATAAAATTAAATTATTAGAAGAATTTTTCACTATGTAACAAAAAACAAAATTTGTTTAATTTACTGTTTGTATTTTGAGAACGATTTCCTAAGTGGAAATTGAAACGTCAATAAACGTATTTTTATCTTTAATTGTGGCTTATTCCCAGTTTAATAGTAATTCATTTACAATGCCACAAGAAAATAGCTTCAGAACAATATGGATTAAGGGATTCATGAATGAACCAGATATCAATATATAAAAGCTCCCTCTTTGTAGACAGTCTAAGGTACTTTTGTATATTCACTACCATACTGTAGATTCTTTTTTTAACTATTGTTCTTTTTCTTTTCAATTCTTTTATTTGTCATAGGTGTGTACAAAACATATCAGTCTTTTACATATTTTTAACAAGTTTTGTACAAACGAATAGAACCCGAAAATCAGTCTTTTACATATTTTTAATAGTTTATTTATATCAACAATAATTTATGTAAAGTTACATTGCTATACAATATCAGTAAACACAAAATTTCTATAAAACTTCTCTAAAAATATTATTAATAAAAATTAAACTTATGTTAATGAAGACATTTCAAAATAAAACACCAAGTACATCACGAACGTCTCATACTGAATAAGAGACACTTCAATCGAACATTTCCCGGTTAATTTTGAAAGACTTTGCCAGGGGGACTTAATCGAAATTGTCTTCTCAATGTTTTCTTATACAGTCTCCCGAGACCCACCCTAAATCTCGATCCATCGAAGATGTAAGCCCTTGACCTTTTGGGTTAATCTAGTTATATATCGGAGAAGTTCTTGACAATTGAAGGATTACACCAAAACTGTTTAGACAGTAAAAATTGGATCTAACTTAAAATGACTATTGGCTTGAGTGCCCGTCAATAAAGTTTGAATAAAACTGGCGAAGGAGATAAGTGATTCTCTAATTATAGAGAGTTTAAGGTATCTGCAGAAGTTTTTAATACGAGGTAGACCCAAACATGAATTTCGTGTTCGATTCTTTTGTACATATAAATATATTTAGTTCTGATATAGTGAAATATGTGTGTATGTCAGTGTAGAAATAAATACATTTTGATATATATTATTATGAAATCTAGTTATTGTTTCAGTTTTGAAACGAAGGTTTCTACTGACATTGTAAAACATTGTTTCAGTATACATCACGGAAGTACCGCCATATAACGAAATAGCGGTTCATGGTGTGCAGTTACAATAAACAGTTGGAAGAGTCCATTCACGCGACAAGCGGAGTTCGTTATACAACATGCAAACGTTTTCAATTCTATTAAAATCTATCAAAGATTTACAGAAATACAAAAAGCAGAGCAAGAAGCTTAGCGCTAGTCTTCAGTACTGCCTACTGTAGGTTTTGGTTTAAAATAACTTGTGTGAATCAGAAACAGTACATAATTAAGTTATTGTATGACAATATTACCCGACCATTAAAAAATATTGGAATATAACGTAGTTAATATGGGGTGTCAATGTTTTCTTCTGGGTAACATTGACATTTGACATATTTACAAAAATAAAAAGAGTATCAAAATTTTGAAACAAACTAACTTTTTACTCAGTATTTTACTCCTAGTTGCAGTTTCGCAAATGTATATAAACATTTATAAAATATTGTGTTAGTTTTAATTCTCCCCGTATATTTAAACAAGATTGCGTGTACAAAAACACAGCGTTTTAAAAACTAAACATTATAGAAAGGGCCACCTGCGAAATGTTTTGGCTTCGGTCTTGTGAGAGAGACAGTCATTCCATGCAGTAGGGTGGAAGGATTATCAATACTTTGTGTTTACTGTATGTCCTTGAACAGATCTTTTTCGATAGAGGTTGGTGCTATCATTTCATTGGGGTAAAGTATAATACACTATATTATCTTGTTGCTGCAAGGAGTAAGTACATTTACTTGGTGCTAAATTATTACATATTGTGTCGCGATTTTGAACTGTATTTTGAACATTTTACTTTCTTGCTTTTATACATTTTAAACTTTTTTACATTTTACTTGTTACTAATTGTATTAATTTCATTATTAATTTAATTTGTATTTTATTACTGATTATACCTTTGAATTGATTCTATTGATATTTGTATTACGTTCAATATAACTCATATATTTTATGCCTGATTGCATTTTGTGTGTCTTTTATCAACAAGGTTTGTTCATTTTACTACGAATTAGTTATATTATTATATGTGCGCATAATTTTTACTCTTTAACGTCTAATATTAAATTTATGCATTATTTCTAATCATACTCAACCATAGCAATTGAATTCTCAAATTCCTTTGCTGTTAATGTGTTTTTACAACCTATTCATCGACTTCCTGTATCCAGATATTCTTGTTTAGTTATAATTGAATGTTTGTTTATGTATATTTATGTTTGATTTTACTTTTTTTTAATAATTTAAAATAGAGTTTCATATAGTCCTCTGGCTTTCATTTTTTCCTATTTTAATATGACTTAGCAAACTAAAGAAACCAGCGGGTCTAGATTGAATATAGACATTCTTCTTCCTTTCTGATGACCTCAATTGTTATATAGAGGTCATCGCATGTGCAGAACGCTGCATCTAATACATTAACCTCACAATACGCGTAATTTCACATTTCTAAGTATGGCATATGCGAGAAGAAAAATGATAAAGATGTGTCAATGTTACCCGGATCTACTAGATTTTTGTTTAGCCATTTGGCGAATTTTAAGACTCTTGTTATACCATTATTAAAAAATGAAATAATGGAAAAGAAAAGTACTTTTGTGGTGTGTAAACATTTTTTTAACTCTTAGGTGAGCACTTTCGGCTTACAAAGCGATCCTCAGAGTTATGGTCATATTTATAAAGTACCACTACTAGAGTGGGTCCCACTGATTAAAAAAATGCATAAGTTTCTTCGAAAAAACACATAGAACACAGCACATTAGATTCCACAAAAAACGCATTAAAAAATTTGTCTATGGCACAAATGTAAGAACCCAACAATTTGGATGGAGTTGAAGCGGCAGAAGAATTCTGTCTGCCGCATTGTTATATTTATTCTAGTCTCACAAAAAAGGAACGAAAAAAAAAACAAAATTTCCAAAATATATCGATACAATTCCATTTGATTAATTTTATTTGGAGCATTATCACATTATTACATTTGGAACATTCATTCCTAATTTTCTCTGGCTAAAGTTAATAAACCTACTGTGTAATACGATCATTTGACAATTAATACGAATTTTCGATTTTCTATATTTTCCTATTGATTATTTTACCTTAAAAGCTTCATTATTTTTTTAACAATTAATGTCTAATAGTATAATTTCTTAGGGGAGCCTGACGCATCACCAAGAGAAACATACGCGAAAAGCAAAACAAACCACGAACAACTTCACGAAATACTTCAAAAGCTTGACAGAAGTGTCATGATAAACAACACGGAGCGAGAAAAGTACGCCACTGTATATTATATTGTTAGATACTACCTGCATAGAGCATACAAACAACTGAATGGAAGAGATGTCTCTACACCTATTCCTGTCTTGGGAAAAACAAAAATTACCGACAGGTGTGATGATATACCTGAAAGGCTGCTTTTTGAAAAATTTGATAATATTTGGATACAGCGAAACAGACGGGTTCCTCCTGTAGTCACAGAATTTATACCTAAACCGAAGCCAAAACATTTAGAAGATATACCGTTAGATCAACCCCATGAGCTGTATAATGCGTATTTTAAAAAACAGAAAAACGATAAAAAGAAAAATAATGCAAAAACGAAAAAGATACTACCAGTCACAACCAATAAGAATAATAAACAGAAAGGAAAACGATCGGTGAGAATTTAGTAAAACTATACTATTATTGTTATTTAGTTATTAACTTTATTACAAACTTTCTTTTTGGCAGCACGAACTTTAGCATTTTGAGATTTAATCTTTTGATGCTTGAGTGACTCGACACTGAGGAGTAGGCAGATTGAGACCTCAGTGCCGAGAGACAGTTCTTGTATTTATAATACAGAACACGATACTGGTACGTCTCGAGTGAGGGGAGTAGGCAGATTGAGACCCCGAACTCAAACTAAACCGTATCCCTCTTGATAATGGCTCCAAAATGGTAGCCGAAACGTCAGAGCATTAAATTCTCAACGCGATTCTTCCCGGGAACCTAGTGATTTTCATATATATATATATATATATATATATATATATATATATATATATATTATATATATATATATATATATATATATATATAATAATTTATTGTGTTGGAATATCGGGTATGCGGTCTGTTATTATTTAAAAAAAAAAACTTTTTTTTCTTTTAATCCTCTATATTTCGCTGATTTTTTGTCAGCTTGATCAGGAGACAACTAAAATATGATTAAAAGTTATATAAAAATCAGTTTAGAATAAAACAATGAACCACTTAAAGTGAAAAGTGTTTAAAAGGTTATTGTACATAATTTGTTCAAAACAGTACTGACAGTATTGGTTAAAAGCACCTAGTTCAATAGTAATTAAATATAAAAACGGAACAAACAAAAACAACCAAGAAACAATTAAAACACAATAAAAGTACACATTAAAAATATACAGGGTGATTTAAAATATAATTGTTAACAGAAAAATTATTTGGACATACTAAGAATATTACCGTAGATGTTGCTCAACTGTCCCGGTCTGCCTTGTAATTTACTGCATAGTGTTCTCTATTTATATGACACATTTCCAAAAACAATCTTTTTTTGTAATTATTTTCTTGCTGTAGAACCCTGACATTTGAGTAGTCAAATTGATGGCCAGTTTTTAAGTGATGGTCAACTGCCGCACATGTATTCTTCCGTTTTGTGTAGTCACTTTTGTGTTGTGTGACCCTTTGTTTTAACCATTGAGAAGTTTGGCCAACATAACAGCTCTGGCAATCCAAACAAGGCAGTTTGTAGATAACATTAGTTTTATTTACAGTTGGTGTCTTGTCTTTTACTTTAGAAAACAGCTGTCGGTTTTCTAATAAATTATATTGGACAATTTTAATATTAGTAAATTGTTTAAATAAACTAGTCACAAAAGGTGTTAACTGTTTTATTAATGGTAGTTTTTTATATTGTATTGTTTGTACTGCTCCGATATCAGTGGGACCGTCAAAAATGTCTGAGTTAAATATCAATTTTTTTAAGGATATGTGTTGGATAAGCGTTTGAAATAATAAGTTTCTGTAGAATTTGTAGGTTTTTTTTGTATGAAATGAAGGATCTGATAGTTTTATTACTCTATTTTTCATCTGTTTGATTAAGTTGTCTTTGGTAGAATTATTATGGTAAAAGTGGTAGTTAAGGTATCTACCAGAATGGGTCGGTTTTTGATACCAATCTATTTTAATGTTGTTGTTTTCCCTGATCATCCTTATGTCCAGAAAGGGGACGGCCTAATTACCATCTTCCCTCTCTATAGTGAACTGGATGTAGGGGTCATAACTATTGAAAGTGTATAATAGTTTATCTACCTTATCATTGGGTATAGCCAAAATGATATCATCAACATATTTTTTAATAAATGGAATTTGAAAGGTTAGTAAAGGAATGACTGAGTCTAACACATAATCCATAACGTAAGTTGCAATGATAGGAGAAATATTTGCTCCCATAGGGGTACCGAAAGATTGTTGATAGAATTTACCATTAAATGAGAAGTAAGTGTTGTTAAAAAGAAATTCGACGATGCTGCCTCTCTTGCAGCAATTCTTACATCGGCCAAACATCTCAATTATTGAAATCACGTATTACATCACACAAAAGTGATTCTCGACTTCACCCTGACAGCTGTGCATTAGCCAAACATGTCCATTCCACTGGTCATCTCATGAACTATACTAACACTACAATTCTCCACCGTGAGAACAATAAATCTAAAAGAGAGTTCATTGAAATGTCTTATATTTTCCTTAACGATTTCTCCATCAACGTTAAGAGTGACATTAAGAATCTAAGCGATATATACCACTTCTTACTTATATCTGATACCAAGAACAATACAACATCACAGATAACTAACTAGACTGATATATCCATTAACAACTAACCTACTTAATAATAATTTTCATTAACTAAAAAATATAACATTCCTTGCTTTTCTTAGATTAAAACATCTCAATAAAATATTATTATAATAATACATGAACAATATAATACAATTAAAAAATAATTTCAATTGAAAAAATCTAAAATATTTCTCCCAAACTGGGATTTAACTTCATTCGGTTTTACCAATGAACCTTAACGACATAAAGATTCAAAAGTACTACTTGAATTGTCGGCACATGCGTTCTGATTCTGAACAGAACCTCACATTTAAACTTTCTAACAATCAAAAATTTAGTTATTGTCGACATCTGAAAGAATTACTTCCTTTTAAATGTAGTTACATTGGGTTTTTCGATTAACCTTGTGTAAACCTTTGCGTTTTAAGTTCAAAGCTACGACACATTTTCAACGTTGAAAAAAAAACTTTTTTTGCACATAGTAACAAAAACACCACTATGTTGTTACTAGCTAAGTTTTTTAACATCCTAACTCGATAATTCTAAAGTTACGGTAAGATCAATTTTTTTTTAATAGATAATATATGGTAGGTAATTATAATTTATTTCTCTTCAGCCCTGAAGAAGCCAAATTAATTCTCTTTGGCGAAAACGTTCGACGAAACAATTGATACTCATTAGAGTCTTTCTTGCAGATTTCCCCAATATTTAAGAGTTTACTATTTAAGTATTATCTGCAAAGATTAAATTTCTTTTCTATATATATATATATATTATATATATATATATATATATATATATATATAGTATATTTATATAGTATATATATATATATATATAGAGAGAGAGAGAGAGAGAGAGAGAGAAGAGAGCAGCCGATACACTATAAAACATCAGATTATTTAGCCTTGTGACATATGTTGTTGTAGGACAGACATACTGATACAAAAGTTATCGAAAATTTTGATCCATTCGGTAATCTTGAAATAGATATTCAACAAAACACATCAGTACAAGCAGCTTACAAACAGAGGACGTCATTCTCAGTAAAATCGCCATCTATGCCATCTATGAGATCTTTCGAAGAAAAGGAAACAAAGAGTTATCATGAGAAATATTTAATAGTTTACAGTAATTTGTGTGCAGGCATTGACGCAATGGTAAGTACCTATACGGTTAGAAATATTAAGAAAACTTTCTGGGACCAAATTAGGAACTCGTTTTCTGCTGTTTAAATATGTTTTTTCCATAAGTATTTTTGACGTTCCTAACAAGCTAGTATCGTTGTTCGTCAATGTTTTCTTGCATCATGTATTTTTCTTCGATAATTACTTCTTAACTAGCTCTGATAATGCACAAATAAAATTTCTTTATTGGTCTCTATGATTTATTTAGCACTTATTGTTTAGACAGATATACCATAGAAAATATATTCAACATTCATAAGAATAACTACATTTCAATTTTTTATTATTCACGCTTTCGGATCATATTTCGACTCTGAGTAACAATATAATGTATTTAATGTTCTTAAAAATTTATCTCAATTGCTTTGCGTTTGTCTTGAGTTTGATACATATATTACTTTACAAATGTCTTTTACTAAATGTTTTTTACTTTGGTTTGGCACATATATCTTTCAAGAGCTTCCATTTCAGCGATTCTTCGTATGGGATGGTTATTATTTCGTATTAAACGTGACTTACCAATTTTATTCTATGGTTCACCTATACATATCATCCTTAGACTTACCATAGTTCTTAATTGTATTCATTTTTGTCACTACCAACTAAACTGTATCATTTTCTACATACGGGTCCACATACAACACACAACTCATATCCTTTCTTGTAATCCATGGATGTCTCAAACTGCATTCTCAATTTTTTTGCAAATTCGCACAAATTTACAGTACTATTGATTTTACAATTTTTATTTGGTGTAGGTGGCTGCATTAGATACAATAAACGAAAGAAGAATACCTGCAGAAATTTTAAGCGAATTAACAGAATGTAATATTATAGAGTCTAAGAGAAAGTTTACCAACCTATCGATATCAATAGGAACAGCTTCAACAGGTGCAACGTCTGAAAAGTTTAGACTAAGTGACGAAATTTGTCCCGAAGTTGATGATTACTGGAATTATTTGGGTAATACCTATTTTTATCAGAATGAAAAAACTCAGAAGTACTTTATCAAAGGAGAGACTCTTCCCGAAGAAATAACGGGTAAGCAATTTAATCCACAACTTACAATATATCTAAGATTTTCGTTTTTTAATTAAGAAATACCACAACAACCACCATATTTTGCGATGTTATAGTTGCTTCAATAGAAGCTAGGATATGATTTTTTTAAATTGACTACTTTTAGCCTTATTTCACACTTTTTTTTCTTTATAGAGGGGGGTCTGGAATCTTCAAAAGACATCTCAGTCCAGGACGCCGCCTGACTGACCTTAGTGTAGGATTCGTTTTTCCTACTCCAAGCGATAGTTCCCGAGGTACTTTAAAATGCCCTCTCGTCACCAAGTCTACGCCGAATGTCTACCTGCTAAGCTAGACCCTCCTCTTTCATCCAGTGATTCGACATTGGTTTCAAATTTTCAACCTTTATTCTCCTGTTATTTACCTAAACGGAGTCCCACTCAAACTTGTTGACCAACACCAAGATATCACATTGAAAAGACTAAACGCAACTGTTTAAACAGAATAAACATTTTAAAAACTCTAGACCACCAGTGGAGAAAAAATCTTATTGAGAATCTATAGAGTTCTTATTTACTACAGATTAGATTATGGCAGCATGCTGTACATGACCGCCTGCAATACTTATCTCAAATCTCTAAATTTAATACCAACGACCTCTTTACGTATATGTCTAGGTGCATTTAGATCTAGTCACGCTAAAACATATGCATTGAAACTTTCAAACCTCCTCTTTTCATACGACGTCAGCTTCTACTCTCTTCTTATTTCACTAGAGTTTCCCCTAATCCAAAAAATCAAGTAACCAAACCCATCAATATTATCCACTAAGTTCCTGAAAATAAAGACATATCTATGTATCCACTTTCACAATTAATAAAAACCATTGTTAGCAGATATAGACCTGACAATAACCACCCCCATCAGTACCTCCAATATTCCTCCATGGAACAAAAAGCTACCTACTTTTAACACTAGCCTAACTCGACGTAAGAAAGAAGAAACTCCTATTTGTCTTTTGAGATAATTATTTCAAGAAGCAATAAATACCAAACAAGACAACCAAATTCTTTACACCGGCTCCCAACCACTTGTAGTATTCATACTGCAGAATTAAATAGAATCCTTAAAGCTCTTGAAAGGACTCTACCTTATAGCAAATCTCTAGCAATATGCACTAATTCACTTTTTTTATTTTTTAATTTAGTGCAGTACTAACATATTCTCATTAAATATAGAGTCCAAAAAATTCAACATATCTGTCATTAACATCACACCAGAGGAACATTAATAACCATTTTTTGGACTCCATCTCATGTGAGATCAGTGGAAATGAATCCGCAGATATCGCAGCAAGAAGGGCAAGTTGTTCTGACTTACGCCTAGAAAAAATTCAACTGCATCACGACCTAACAGCAACTATAAAACAAAAACTCTGAAAAAATGGCAAATGTACAAAACACAAAACTGTTTTGTACTCAAATTTTTTACTCAAAAGCAACAAAACAGACGTTTTTGTACCCGTTTCAATTGCCGTAGCTGCCGAGACACGCGTTAATTTCAACAAAAAAACTTATCATTTCATTCATAAACCATTTCAAAAGTATTGAGTTTAGCTTATTGTGATACGTTTTTCAAATGTTATACGATAATAAGTTATATGTCAAAGATTCCTGCTTACACAAATTATAGGTAGTGGGTTTCTCGTTTGACAGTTTCCACTCTTATTTTCTACTTTTATGTTTTTTCATTACATGATATAGTCATAACATTTGATTTGCTTTCTATTGAACTGTACTCACCGTTATGTTATTTTCAGAAACCACTTTACCACTGGCCAAACCCCGTGAATCGTTTCATCTCTTCACTCCCCCGGAAGTAGAATCTGTGGTTTCCGCTGACTTTAAATCAGAAGCAATGCAAACCAGTGATATTAGCAGCGACAAATATGAAGCATTTTCAGATCATTTGTTAAAAACCGACTTGTCACACGATTCCTCACAAGCAGATTCTAGCGAAGACAATAATACAAAGAGAGAAAAGTCATTGGATCTTTTTTATTATGTCGATTATAATTTATAATGTTAATTTTTGTTATTATTAAAAATAAAATTTTATTCATCTACTCAAACTATAGGTGATATTTTTGTTTGGATAATAAACGTAATAATAGATAATAAGCCACTTGAGCGCACTTTGATCTTTGAGCTACACGGCTTCAACACGTAGCATAATATGTGATATTCGACATAAAATATGACATAATTAATACGTGACATTTGACATAAAATGTTTTATGTTATGTTAATTTTCACCATTTCTTTTGACTTGTCAAAAACAAAACTATTTTGTATATTGATCAAATCAATTATATTCTATTCTACTATGTTAGATTCTTTATTTTTTGGTAATTTTACAAGAATTTTTAGGTCTAATTTGCGCTTATATATAAACTTTTGTTACCCTGTTAGACGGTTTCAATAAAGTACTAGGACCCTTTGTACAATTGCCCCATTTTTTGTTAAAAATGTAGAGTATGCTATCGCGCAAATTACACTCGGCGTTTCCTCTTCCGTCATAAGTTTTCGCAGCATAAATTTTAAATCCCAATTTCGCTGAATTCGCAATGTCTTCGATTCCTTGTGACAATTCCATTTTCCGTGATATAATGTGAGAAGAGACGTTTCTTTTGACTTGTACGAATAGTTGAATTTAAATTTTAAAATGAAACTACAATTTATGAACACAAAAGAATCAATCTTAGCTCTCTTCTAGAATAATTTTCAGTATTAGATTCTTATCTGAGATACATGAAATAGGAAAGATTTTCTTGTCTATGTAATGAATGTTTCTGATAAAATTCAGTCACTTAGAAATAAATTGCCTTTTATAGTTGAATCAGTCGGTTATAAAATGTGAACACGCAGTGCCGGGACAAGTATTGGCTATGTTTATTGTATTTACAATATAATGAAAGTTTCTAGTCCAGTCCTCGGAGCCCTAAAAATCACACAAACAATAAAAAACGCAGAATTTAAAGCATCCAGGTATATGTAAAATTGAAACTTACAGAAAAATTATGAAGACAATGAAAATATCTTTACATGCCTCAAATGGATTCATGCTCTGACTGTTTAGAATACAAAAACTTTGTAGAAGCAAGAAGCACATGCATAGATAATTCGGTTGTATATTCTACCTAAAAAACTCAATGAGAGGCACACAAAAAGAAAGCAGATGATGCAAATATGTTACAAAATTGATGCAGAATTACCAGAAACTAATAAAACTAAGTATTTTTCTTTTGACTTGCAAAAAGTATTATTGTTACCAATTATGCCAAGAAACAAAGATCCTCGCTTCTTTAAATATTAAATCAAGTTCCAACTATTCAGTAGTTTGGCATAAAGCATTTGGCGGTCGTGATGCTTCTAATATCATCGATGCAATATATAGTTTAATTAAAGAAGAGCGTGACGAACAATTTTGTTTTTTGGGCAGATAATTGTAGTGCCCAAAGTAAAAACTGGTATTTGTTTACTACATTAGCGATTATGGTACTTATACAAATATCTTATCAAAGGTCATCCACACATGACTGATATTGATAACTGACTTGATGAACATGACTTGATAACTTAAGTTGGCGAGGGAAAAATGTAGACATATTAAAAGTTAAAGATAAGACCAGTGCTATGGTAAAAAGTCAGAGTTACCTGACCCGATAAAGATCAACGCAGCCGAGCACCTACGCAGCTTAGCCACGACTTTTAGGATATATTTCCTTGAACCTGACCCTGACGATGGTTGGATTTAAAATCCTTTCAGCTGTCAAGCAATTGAACAAATCCAAGGCCTCACAGAAGAAGAACAAGATAAGTGTGTGGATTTGTCGAGTTGTGGTACGGTGAAGGGCATTTTTAATGGCGAGAAAATAACAGACTTCTGGGCAATAGCACGCAAGGATTACAAAGAACTTAAGGAGACTTAAGGAGACAAGGCATTAAAAAATCCTTCCATTTGCTACAACCTATCGGTGTAAGCAAGCATTTTCTTCCATGTGCTTCATGAAAAACAAATATAGGAATCGGCTTGACATGCGGTCGGATTTCAGAGTAAAAGTTTCAAGTTTGGAATCTAGCATTACAGAAATAATGGATTCTAAGATTAAATTTAACGTATCTTATTTATTGAGGAGTGAAAATTAAAACTAATAATGTACTTGTGTATGTACTCTGTATTTTCACAAATAAATCCTAAATAGCATTAGTTTGATTTATGTTTTCACAAATTTTGGCTCTTTTCAGGTAACTTTAGGTTTGTTTAGATCTTTAGGAAATAGTGGGGGTCCTCGTCACTGTAGTACCTTGATGAAGAGATCCTTGAAAAAATTTAGTTGGGAACCCCTCCACTAGGATAATATACTTCTATACTTTAAAAAAGAGATTTTTGCAATTTTGCAGTGTGCTCGAGCTCGAAAAATTGACATAACGAAAAACGATCAAAATCAAAGAAAAGATGTGAGAAAAGATAGAAGATAAATATCAGAACTAAAAGTTAAATACTTAATGAGGTAGGTACTAATTTATAAAAGTGTATTTTATTCCTTTAAAACAAATATCTAAAGATAATAATCAGAATACGCTATAAAAAAATATTACCAATGAAAAGTTTTTATCATTTTTTAATACAGAAAATCTTTATTCCTCGGATCATTTTAATACAACTAACGTGTGGGCCCCTTTTCCTTATTCAACTTAGTCGTTCTATAACAGTTTGCATAAATAAACTTCTGGATGAAATTGCCAAAACATTTTTTTATCACTGAAAGAATCGTTTGGAGTGTTGTCGTTTAAGCCATTATCAAGTTAACTACATCTTCCCCTTTGGTTGTGTTTTATATCTAGCTCCCCTAAGTATTCATCGTCTTAAAAGTGTTTTATTGGGGATAGCTTTCAGTGACGTAGAATATAGATTTTCTGATTCTTGAGTATAATAAAACAGTTTAGTTGGTTGTTTGTAGTTTATTCTCTACATAAAAAATTGATTCGCTCAATCGCTTATTTGAGAAACCCCAAATGTTCAAAATGAACATTTTAAGAAAAGTTGAAAAACTGTTTTATTTAAAAACAATTTAAAAATTCATAAAAGCAGGTACTCCAATATAAAGTATGCATACTTTCTATAAAATTTTCAGCCAAAACAAAAAAAAATCTTCTGATCTTATGAGAAAAATAGAATAAAATGGCGGTGGAGATGTTGGTTTCTAGAACAAACACAAAACTTTTTTTTGAAAAACAGTTTATTAGGTCAAAAAAAGATGGAATACAATAAAAAATACCCGCTCAATCTTCATTAACACCGTCCTCGTCGCCAGCAATAGTTGGCCAATCAAATATTTGCCCCTAAAAACTTCAAATGTTTTCATCTTTTCCTACGATAAATCTTCCAAACTTTTTGATACTCATCATTTTGTTTGCACTTATTGGAACTTTTGCATTAGGGATTGGGACTTATGCAACTACTTTGGGATAGGACGTGACAACAGTAGATGTTCCTAACCTAAATCCATGCTTTATTAGGCTATCAATAAAGCCGCAAGCAGTCGCAACACCTTTGTCCTTCTTACTGTAGCTAAAGTGCCTAAACTTAAAAATCAGAAAAGAAACTTTATCCTTCTTTTTATCACCTCTTCCGTACGATGCTGCAGACAAAGAATTTTTTTGTAGTAAATAGGCTAACACCAAGACGATCCTGGAGAGACGATGTCGACGATGTAATGACCGCCAGATATCTAACATTTGAAGATTGCTTCGACAGAAAACGCTGGAAATTAGGATGCGAGAAGCGGCGAAAAAAATGTTTGTGCTTAAACTTAAAAGCCAGTCAAGTTTTTCTTCATCATTTCCTCTCACATGCCATCTAGAAATGTCTCCTTATGGGGAAATACTTTAAAAGTTACGTCATTTCAGAAAGATATTAAAATACCAATTTGTGTTTACAGTATTCAATTACCACACAAAGTGTTTACACAAAACTAAATTTAAAATCAGATCATAAGTAAACAAACATTTTATATCATGATATTAAATTACTAATTGGTAGTTAAGAAAATGAATTTATGTCTTATCCCAAATTTCGAAATTCTTTCACATTAAAAAAATATAGTTATTTATTTTCTAGAAAATCTATTATAATTAAAATATTAACCCTTAAATGCCCAATCGGGGTCACTATGGGACCCCAGACATACATTTTTGGCTATAATATCTTTATTTGAAACATTTGGCAACCGCGCAATCAGGTATTTGTGTGGACGTGTCTACTACGTTTTCTGTTAGTATACCACGAACATTCGTGAGGTGCAGTGGTCTGTAAGAGAGATTTAGATAAGTGGGGTCTCGCTGTGACCCGATTGGGCATTTAGAGGCACCAGAATATTTTTATTATTTTTAACATTTTTCGTCAGTTTACATTGAAAAATGGACCGTAAGAGAATGAAAATGGCAATAAGCGACCAAGAACATGAAAAAATTATCCGAAATATAGAAGAAGGGATATCAGACTCCGATTTCGACTATGAGATTACCGACGAATCAGATAGCGAAGAGCAAGATGTTTTTGAGGAAAATGTTTCGGAAACTGAGGACAATTTAGAAGTCAACAGTGACGAGGAATCAGTTGCAGAACCTACCGAAGTGGACGATAATATTAGTGAGGTTAGTGGTCCAACATATACATCCAAATCTGGAATGCAGTGGAATAGCCTACCTTTCGTGAGATCCAAGAGGCAACAAAAAAATATTATAAATGTACATCCAGGCTTAACAAACTATAGTAAAAATTCCAACACGTTTTTAGACTATTTCAATTTATTTTTGACCGAAGAGATGAAGAATGTCATATGCCTTCATACTAATGAAGAAGCTGTTAGGCGTTATCAAGAGTGGAACGAAAAACATCCGAATAACAAAAAAGAGTGGACGGTACTTACCAACAATGAACTGGATAGCTTTTTAGGAGCACTTATCAAAGCTGGTGCTTTAAGGTGTGGGAAAGAATCGACACGAGAGATATGGTCTACAGACACCTCAATACGCCGGTCATTTTTTACAGCCGCATTAGCTA